CAAAGAACGACACTCCACACTACACCCACTGACAAAACTCATAGAAAATACTGTTCTCAATTTAACAGACGAAACCATACCGGATTGGTGTTGCTTGATTTCGAGAAGGCGTTTGACACCATCTGGATGGACGGACTTATACATAAACTCATACAACTGAATTTTCCACCATACATTACAAGAACATTACACTCATACCTCTCAGACCGTAACTTTACCGTACAAGTAGACAACGGACTTTCGACGGTTAAACAAGTGACGGCGGGAGTACCGCAGGGCTCGATCCTGGGACCGTCACTGTTTAACGTCTACATTCACGACATACCCACTGACGCCGACGACCACCTTACTGACGTTTGCTGACGACACTGCCATATACAAATCATCACGATCACCGACGCTACTGACTACAAAGATACAGACCACATAGACCAGCTGACGAAATATACTGACAAAGGGCAGATCAAGAACAATCCGCCAAAAGACGGAGGCAATTTTATTTACTAAGAGCCGAAATTGCCATGACTAGACTGACTGACTTAGACAAAATTAAAGTATTAAACGTGAAGTTGAGTGGTCCAAAGATGTCAAATATCTTGGTGTGACCCTGGACCATAGACTCAGCTTCACAAAACATATTAATACGAAAATTGGACAGGCTTACGGGATGTTAAATCTACTGAGAACTCCTTGAACCACCAACGGCCCGCTAAGCGTGAAGAACAAGCGAACACTTTACTTGACACTGATAAGACCGATACTGACATACGGCGCTCCGGCATGGAACGCGACGACTAAGACTAACTTACGGAAACTACAGACATTACAAAATAAGACACTACGACTTGTACTCAACAAATAAGGGACCCACTGACTAGACATTACTACTCTTCAAAATACATACACAAACAGACTGACGTACCGACAATACTCGACTACATAAAAAAGCTCACTGAGAATTTTTATCTAAAATGTGGGGATCATCCTAATATGAACATCGCGGGCCTCGGCCAATACACAAGAGATGATATTTGGTATGGCAATCACGCCATGCCAAAATATATACTGATCGACCCATAGCGGCAATTGAAACTTGGCTCGACGCAAATATTCTCCCTCAAAGTGAATAAATCTTTTTTTGTTTTTCTCCTTTTTGAGTTATTATGTGTTATTATAAATAGTGCTAAGTGATTTTTTTTTGGGGAATAAATTTTCTTTCCTCTTTTTTGTCACAGAATTATGTCACAACTTGTATATCTGAAATACTTATTATTGTATTGATAGAACAAATATGAAGGATGAAATACCTACGGGTAAAAATCCAAAATGAGAAATGCTATGTACACATATATATCTACTGAAATACATTTATTTATTATTATTATTATTATTATGTTCGTTAACTCTTGAATTTAGAATAATTGAATTTTTGGTGTCTCGAATCCTTTTCAAGGTAGAGACCAATAAAAAATCTAATTAGTGGTGTATAGCATCGTGCCTTAGTGCACTTCCCGTACCCTAATGAAATATTCGCAAAAGCAATCGTGTGGTCAACACAAGCAGAACGTTTTTTGAATCATTCAAACCGGATGCTTAGTTTTCTCAAAAATTGGCATTTTTGCACATTTAGCTCTGTATCTCCGAAACGGCTGAACCTGCCCTTGCCAAAATTTAATAACCACTTTTTCTGACAATAACTAACAATTTTATCACTTTTTGGCTTTACCACAAACTAATCAGCACATACGCCCAAAATCGTCGACGAAAAATTGTCGCTACACATACACACCATTGTTCTTCGTGTGCCCGCGATTTGGTGCTCTACGGGATGACGTGGAAGAGACATTGGGACGCAGAATTACCCCAGGTAATGTTGTTGAAGTGATGCTGACAAGTGAAGCTGCTTGGAACGCCATAGACAGATTTGCGAGAGACGTTTTAATGGACCTGCGTTCTATAGAGAGAGAAAGGGCGAATGGGACTTCGCCCATTTAAAAGATAAGTATAATGTTTATGAATTATAACATTGTTTATAACAAGTTAAGAATTGTAACATTCTAGATCCTCCCCCCACGAAGTAATGCCTAACGGCGGTTTCCGTGGGGACCAGAGGCAGGGGCAAAGCGGAGGTTTTAGTCGGTATTATACCAGGGCGGTATCGAGTCCGACATACCCAGACAGAAGACCGGTCTGGGATGCATAAAAGCATTTCCTTCGCTATACAAAAAAAAAAACACATACACACCATTCTTGATAACCATATCCAAGCAGAGCGCGGTCAAAGGTCAAGGACAACAAAAGACTATTACAGGCGTGTTAAAGGATGAGATCGAAGTTATCCATAAGAGACACCAAAAAATTATAGAAATGGGAAATATTGATGATGAAGCCTCAAGAATTGATATCCAGTCTGCACTACAAAAAACCAACCGGAGGAGTCTGCAATACACCAGCAGAAGCAATTAAGATTCGTAAGGCATATAGAGGTACACAGATTGCTACTGTAGCTCTACCAGCGGCAATTGTACACGATATGCTCAGAGCAAGTGGCAAAATACGAATTGGATTGGACAAACTGTCGAATTAAAACCATCAAGATACCAATCCGATGCTTCAAATGCTGGCTAACGGACATTATGGAAGCGAAGTGAATCGGACCAATTTATGCATTAGATGTGGCAAGAAGGTTACAAAATAGCCATCTGTATAAATGCAGCAAAATGTGCACTATGCGCTGAAAATGGAAATACTGTGAATGTAGCTCATCATGTCGGCACCCACAGATGTCCTGTACCTATATAGGGAAGCCTTGGACAAAGCAATGAACATAAAAACATGAAGAAAATGCAGCTAAACATAAATCATTGAGAGGCTGCACTCGACTTACTTATGCAGATGTTAAGAGAAATTAAAATTGATATTCCCCTTTCATCAGAACTTTACAAACAACTAACTGATATGCCATGAGAAACGGACAGTACCACCAAAGCTGTTATTTGGTCTTGTAGGAAATTTTGTTTCCAGAATGCCGTTAACAATAGCAATGCTCGAATGTAGTAGCATCATTAGATGACATTTATACAGCTGTTACGCTTCACCTAGTCTTTCTTTGCCAGATTTTATTGATTTTGGAGATCGTCTAGTAGAGGATGCAAAACGACACCACCCCATTGGGTGCTGGAAAGAATGAAGTCGAGGGAAACCCAATGGAAACGGCTATATAAGATTGTAATGTCTCGCCTCAAAAGCCAGCCAATGCCTTCACCAACTTGCCCACGACTATTGAATCAAATACTAACTGTTTTGTGCCCACGACAAACTAATTTAAACTACCAGGTAACACATGCAGACCTGAATAATATTCTTCCTATAACACTGCAAGAACTGATGGAAACTTGTCATTGGGTTGGGAATAGTAAGGCACCGGGATTAGATGGAATTCCTAATATCGGCTTAAAAACATCAATTATGACATCTCTGACAATGTTTGTTTAAAAAATAAAAAACTAGCTGGATTGGTATTTAGCCTTGAGGCAAGTTACATGAACTTTCCGATATGTGTAAATAATCGACTTAATCAATAAAAAATAAATTAATTTATGAGTGGATTTATTACATATAATTGAATACGAACGAACACGTTAACTTAGAGTATTTTCAAAAAACAACTTTTCAAAAATCAACAATTATTATATTTGAACCAGTTTCCGTGGGATTTTAATGGTTCAGTATGTTTATCAAGACCAAATACTATATTGTTATATCAAGTAAATCGTCAAATTTTAATTTTAGCTAACGTCAAGAAAACTACTCATTTTCTCAAACTTTGATGAATGTTTAAAATTAAACTACTTGTTGTAAGGCCGTAATATTACAGTAAGTTCTATAAGACCATGATATATATCGCTAAAAAAATTCCATAAAAATCGGCTTAAACTTTTTTTTCAACAGTTAATTACAAGAAAACGGCTCGGTAGATTTTCACCTAAAATTAATCAGTACCATTCCCAACTAATATCTTTCGAACAGTTTTTGATTTTTTAAAATCGGTTCGGTAGGATGAGCTTAAATGTCGACGAAAATTTAACACTTTTTTCAACAGTTAATTACAAGAAAACGGCTCGGTAAATTTTCACCTAAAATTAATCAGTACCATTCCCAACTAATATCTTTCGAACAGTTTTTGATTTTTTAAAATCGGTTCGGTAGGATGAGCTTAAATGTGGACGCAAAGTTTAACACTTTTTTTTCGAATTACAAAGAAACGGCTTGTCAGATCGTTGCACAAAACTGACAAACGATAGTCCTCAGCGAAATACATCAAATGGTCTTTAAATTTCTAAAATCGGTTCAGGCGTTTTTGAGAAAACGTCGATCAAAAGTCTAATTTTGACAAATGCCAAAAAGACCATACAGATTTTTGCAAACTTTGACGAATTTTTAAAGCTAAGCCAATTGTCGTAGGGGCGTAATATTTTAGTATAATCTAGAGGACTATGGTATCTATCGTCAAAAAAATCATAAAAATCGTCGAATTTTTTTTTTTAAAAACTTTATTACAAGAAAACGGCCCATCTCTATCAAAAACTAATCAGCACGATTCCCAACCAATATCCTTCGAACGGTTTTTGAGTTTTCAAAATCGATTCAGAATTGCGGGCTAAAACGTAGACGAAAATTTTTTTACTTTTCTGCCATTTATAAAGAAACGGCTTGGCCGATCGTCGCACAAAACTGACAAACAATAGTTCTCGTCGAGATACATCGAATGGCTTTTAAATTTTTGAAATCGACCCAGCCGTTTTCGAGAAAACGTCGATTTACGGCAAAAAATCTGTTTCCAAATTTGGTCTCATTCGATTCAGAATGGCTTGAAACGTCGAGAAAACATAAAATTAGCGAATCGGATTTTTTGATGAAAACATAAACTTCTCCTTCGGGAAGTTAAAAATAGAAGCACTACTCGACAGTATCACGATAACCATAAATCTATCTTTTACCTGTTTCTGGTTCCACCTCTTCCACCAGAAGTCAAATTCTTTCCTCTACCCGCCAACTGTTGCTGTAGGCTTCCGGCACCATCTAGGTTCCTGGTTCCGTTACCGAATGGCGAGTTCTGACTAATGGATAGCTCGTGCAATTGACTGGCACTCGTTCTCGGCAAGCGTGGATTGGTGGCGACACCTTCGCATGCCGAGAAGACGTGACACAGAACCAGGAGACAGATGGGCAGGCAGTTCCATCTCTCGACGGACGCCATTGCTGGACCTGGAGGAATGAGAGAGATGGGAAATTAGTGCTAAGAAAAATTTAATTGAATTTGTGAATCAATATTTAAAAGGTTAAATATATGTTTTATTCATATTTTTTCAGGTTTGAGTTTATTTTATAAACTTATGGTGGCTGAAGTTTCAAAAATAGTTTGTAGCGAGCAGCGAGAAAGAGATGGAACAATTGGAAAGCATAACTTTCATGCCAAATAAATAAAAAAACAAACCTGATTTGGAAAAATAAAACTGCCATCTTTAAAAGATAAAGGACTTAAGAACTACAAGAGTAATTACAAGAGTGTTCCGCCGTGGATCAAAAACAATGATTCTTATAAAAGAAACTTAATCAACAAAGAAACTAAGGTCTTCTTAAATAAATAATGAATGAATGTCTGATAATTTCTACACATTTTTTTGGGTTTTGTGTTTTATAGATCTGCTGATTATTATCTATGTTTGAAAAAGTTATAATAGATAATGCAAATAATTTGATTTATACAGTGCAGATGTCTGAAAGTTGAGAGAAAATAGTGAGGGGAAGGGTAAAATAGAAGGTAAAATATATTAATTTATTATCAGTGTTTCTCTACGCAAACTTAAAGAAAAGAGTTTTAAACACCAGAAGCCACAAATTAAAGAACAAAAAACTTAGAATTATTATATCAGGCTTTAAAAACAATTAAATGGTCGCATGTATAAGAGTATTTTCTATTTCAGAAAATTTTGTTAGAAACAATAAAGGACACGTCTAAGTAGCTATTCGATAGACGTTGTCAGTTTCTTGGAATCATATTTTATTAAACAAAAGAACAATTAGAATGTTTAAAATTAATTAATTAAAATTGCTCGAAACAGGCAATACCCGAGTTTAACTTAATTATTTTTAAAATTAAAATTGATATTAACAAGTATGTATCTAATTTTTTTTTAATTTGATTCATTTTTTTATTTAAAAAAGTATTATTTTTATTTATTCGAAAACTTTCCTTTCACTATCTTAAAAATATTTTCATTCTTATATGTGAAAATGATGCATGAACAACGAATAATTATTTTCAAAGTTATTTAATCAAGATAAACTATTATTTTTTAGTTCTACTAATTAAAATGAAATAATTTTGTTTACTATCTATAAAATTGAACAATAAATAAATTCAGTCAAATACTGCTCTAAATTATACTAAATTTGCAGATAAATCACAGAATATTCGAGCAAAAATTTATTTTTTATATAAAATTCGAAAACCGGTTAAAACCGGTTTTTTAGTAAAATTAAAATTTGAAAACCGGTTTTATGAAATGTCGGTTTTTGTATAAACCACTACAATATCACCTTGGACTTTTCTATTCAAAATAATTGCTTCAATAATGTTGCCTATTATTTTCATAATTTCGTACCATATTTTAGCTGGCTTTCAGTATTTTTTATATCTGAATTACATTTTTCTCACCAATAATTCAATATATATTATGATTTATGTTCATATTTGAAGTAAATAAATTTGTCAAATCCTGTTCACATGTGCTCTATACAACCTACGATCAAGAAAATTATTGCAGTAAATGGAGAGGAAAAAAACGGTGTCGGTCTTTATCTTAAGCTCATCAACTCACTCATAAACTATTTGATTTAAATGAAAAAACATTGTAAGCGTCTTTTATCTGCACGATAGCTCATTTTACACGCAGAAGTACTCATGTTAAAGCTTATTTTGAGCACTATAAAACCCCATTTTCATATCTAGCCTAATATTGTTCCTAAAACACTCTATAAAAAACCGGTTTATTATTATACGATTTTCGTTAAAATGTATATTATTAGAAATATTTGCAAAAAACGATGAAAAACGCCAAAAAAAAAACAAATTTACAGTAGCCAGTAACTTGAAAAGTAATTTCTTTTTTGAAAAACATTATTAAATATTTTTCTCTTCTTATTAGTTCTTTTATCGATATCCGATGTTATTTTGAAAGAGATACAATTGCACCACTGAAAAGGGATGTCATGCCCCCGGAAAGTAGCAAAGGAGTCTTTACTTCAGAATTATATTCACTTTTAAACTTGAGAGTAAGATGAAACTAATTATAAAATTTCATACAAATTGGAGCACATTAAAAATATTCAGACCCAAAGCACTCCATTGATTTGAGTAAATATTTCGTATCCAATGCCAAACATATGAATTTTTGACACAATGAAACTTCTAAATAATTTTTTGAATAAGTTAATTATTTATAGTGATCTAGTAAATTAAGGCAAAACACGACTACATTTAAAAGTTAAAAAATAATAATCTGTCAAATTGAATTATAGGCTTAGTTTGATGAGTAATCACTGACAGACGCATGCGCAGACTGCATCACCTGTCAGACGCATGTTAACTGTAAATCTTATATTATTTTAATTTTTGGCACATCTCAGCTGCTTTTCGGCAATAATAATGTAGACATTACATTTTCCTTATTTATAATCATGACTTTATTATATTATAATATTGCCTTAACCTATAAGTGAATAGAAATGTTTGGCAAATGACAGTCTTCATTTGTTTTTATTGTCTAACTATGCCTTAAATATTTTCAAGGTCAAACAATAATAAGCAGTTTTTTGTAATTTTTTCTATTTATTTTTTGTAATCTAACTATATTTCTATAAATCAAAATTTTTTAGAAAATTCCCTTATCAAACTTCACGAGGATTTATGAAAATCCGAACAATAGTTTAAGAGGATTAACCATTCCTGTTACAGAAGAATTTTATATATATATATATATATATATATATATATATATATATAAATGGTAGAGTCTTGGATGTGTGTATATTTTGTAGAGTTTCGAACAAGAATCCAAAAGTAATAAAAAACAAGAAAAGTTTTTTGAAAAACAATTTATTTATTTATTTATTTACTGTCGACGTTTCGGAACTAGGTACGTTCCATCTTCAGGACATCTGTCAAGAAACATGATCTTGATGAGATTTATGCATACAATATGTTTAAGAAAAGAAAATGGATTTTTCTTAAATAATAAATTAATTGCAAAAAATAATAATATACAGAAATATAATAATATGATCAAAATGAAAATGATAAAAATAAATGAGTGGATTATCTTACAGGATATTAAAAATGATAGATTTTTTTTAAAAAGTTATGGAAAATTTTAAGAAAAGGTTAATGACAAAATTGAATTAATTACCTGTATGTTTGAATATAGGTTAGCACTTTTTCACTAAACGCAATAAAAAATGTATTAAAATATATCATTATCAAAACTATACAAATGTCACGACATGAAAATCTGTTTTCCACCAAAGCTCATGGTCTACTTGATTCCCCATATACTGCCTGCTCAATGTTGACTCCACACTAGTTCAAATGCACGTATGTCAACACGTTATATTTATTTGGTAGGAAAGCAGGTTGTAGCAGAGGTTTGAGTTTTACGTCTTACAGGACATGTAATCTTTTCTCAATTTTACGAAGGTATGATCCAATCAAAGTTTTAGCTCATAATATTGTCTTTTAGATAAAGCGCAATTCAATCACATTTCGTATGGAAATAGCATGGAAAAATTTTTGAAAATTGAAAAAAAAATTTTTAGGTATAACTTTGCGACAAATGAATTAAAAGTGATATTTTGTGTCATTTTTTATTGCAAATTTGGCGCTCTGCAAAATTTTTCAAAAATTTTTCATGCTATTTCCATACAAAACCTTGATTGAATTGCGCTTTATCTAAAAGACAATATTAAGAGCTAAAACTTTCAGAGAATTGTTTTTAATCACTTTGGAACCATTTGAGCCCTTGGGGGCAAGGAAAATGTCCATATTAAGGACCACCCTATACATATATATATATATATATATATATATATATATATATACATATATATATATATATATATATAATATATATATATATATATATATGTTGAAAGTTTCGTCGACGTTGATACATATTTGTAAATTTTTTAGCAGCCCAACAGTCGAATTAAAAAAGATTAAATAACCAAAATTATTTATTCAATTATACGTTTCGACACTTGATGTGTGTCATCATTCAGTAATCTAAAAACATTTAACATAATGCACAAGTGATGATAAATATAAATATATATATATATATATATATGTACATTTCCAATTACAATTCACATACGTCGCACAATTGACAAGATGTCCAGGACAACATCTCTCGTCATTTTATTGTCGCCAGATACCATTTACCATTTGGATAATTTTACACTAAATCATATTAAATTGGAAAACATTACAATCTAATCGCTAGACTGCATGCTGCTATGGAACAGAACATTGTTGGCGTCGTGTGATGAGATTGTTTTAAGTTGGAAAACATGGAGAACTATAGTCAGATTATATTCAATATTAAATAAGCTATTAAAAAATTATCTAGAATGAATTTATAAATATTATTAGGAATAATATTCATAAATACTCATGCCTTAAGACAAATTGCTTGAACTTATCCCATACCGCAACTAAACATTAAAGGAAAAAAATTTATCATTAACTTGTGGTGTGTATTGCATCATGCCTTAAGGGCAATTGCTGGAACTTCGCGTACCGTAACAAAATGTTTGGGGAATATTAAATGTTTTCAAATAGATTATTATAAATAAATACTGTAACATTGTCTAATATTTTTAAGAAATATATAAACTGAATTGCAAAGTTGAAAATATTTGTTTGTACATTAGAACTTAAGTCAGAACTACAATTAATATCTGAATTATTTTCGATATACAAAAATGAA